ATCCTCAACCTTATTCCAAGTCCAAAATTGACGTCATAACTATCAACGTCATCATCATCGTAATATACATCCATACATACGAACAAATTTGTTTTATTAATTTTACATTTTCTTGTACTCTTCAAATGTATTTCTTTCGTTTTAATTCTCTTTGATAAGTTCATTTATCCACTTTTCTTGTATACCGACAAAATCCACTTGAATCACTCTATGGCTTCAGATGATGATGATGATGCTGATGATCGTTGATATTTTATTCTAAATTGCTTTGGGTGTGATGTTCTTAATCATCACATCACATCACTTTGTTGTTGTTGCTGCTGCTGTTGTATTTTGCTCTTGATGCCGTTAGCAGTTGACTGCCATTATTATTTATTATCTTTTACATACTCATCGTTCGCTTCGAGATCTATGGACCACAACCTATGATCATCTTTAATTTAAACTCGTATTATCGCGCTTCTAGTTAAGGCATTTACTCTACTTTACGGATCTTTCATGGTTTTCTATGAGCACACACATACACACACACACACACGTACACTCATATGTGCACAGAGATTGTATGTAATCTTTCAGACGTTTGTGATTTCATTTGCCGTATGTGTGTGTGTATGGGTGAATCTCTGCTGCGTGGTGAGTTCCTAAGCCGTGGATAATCACCACCTGCGGATCTGTTTTTTTTTTCTTTTTTCTCGTAAAGAGCAATTTCATTTGCTTTCTCAGTCCGCAGACTCTGATGAGATAAATGATTTTTATTTGGTTCCTTTCTTCAAATTTGTTGTGCAATCATTGTTTATTGTTAGACACAAATCATTTGCATAAAAAGGTGCTCAGTTTCATTTAAGAAAAAAAAAACGTATTCGAAAGAGAGAAATCATTTATCTTCTAAGCTGGAAATCGTTGAGATTTAGGATGAAGTTATGTAGAGTTTTGGAAGAATTTAGTTTATAAAGAATACGAAATGCATTGGAATTAGAAGAGTAAGGGGTAAGGAAGATTGAAAAACCAGGAAAGAAATCTGTTATTTGTTGATACATCATTGAAAAACAGTTTTAACGACGTGAGAAGAAGTAAATATTTAAAACCGGACCCATTTTTATGAAGAAGAAGTCTGCAAATTCTCTTATTTGTTTTCCTTTTCAATCGACGCGAAGAATATGAGAAGAAATGAGAAATTCTATTTTTCGTAGGAATGAAAAAGTGTTGTTGTTTCCTTTGTTAATATATCCTACATTAATTCTTGACACGTATCATCACCAAATTTCAGCCTATTTGATCTGATATTACAATTTTTGGGCGCAAAAAAAGATTGGGTGAAGATTTGTGTGGGAGCTATATCCAAATCTGAACAGATTCCTATATTCCTTTAGCGAAGGTATTTCTATGCTGCATCTGATAGTTGCCACCAAATATTGTTGTTTGTGGAGAGTATTTTACGGGTGTGAGGGAGTAAAATACAAAATTGGATGAAACACATATATGGTACGTATAGCTATATCTTCACCGAATTTGATACAATTTCTTCCAGGCTAAATTTGTGATAATGTGCCAAAATCCATTCAATTTTGGTTTATGTTAACCACTTGAAATCGAGCAAAGATATATATGGGAGCTATATTCTCATTTGAGCCGATCTCAATAAAATTTGGCAAAAGTATTTCTGAGATGTATTTGACATATATTTCCCCGAGTATCGTTGTTACAGGGTGCATATTACGGCTGCGGAGGACAAAAATAACAAATCGAATGGACAATATACATGAGAGCTATAGCTATATCTTAACCGATTTCGATCAATTTTGACATGCTTATTTCTAGGCTCAATTTGGTCGTATATGCCAAATTCCATCCTATTTGGGCTTATATTACACATTTGGTGAACAATAAAAGGCAAATAAGAAATAGATGTATATGGGAGCTATACCTAAATTTTGACTGATTATTTCCAATTTCAATAGGATTCGTCCTTGGGTCAAAGAAATGATTTGTGCAAAATTTTATCTGGATCGAGCAATAAATGCGACCTGGGGCTGGATTCTTGTTCTATGAAAATATGAAATGAAAAATATTTTCTTTATAAAATTTTTCATTTGACATTTCTTTCCTTTATAAAACTTTTCATTTCACATTTTCATAGAACAAGAATTGAGGACCTGTACTTTGTTTATAAATACATGGTCAGACGGACGGATGGAATAAATCGACTCAGAATGTGATTCTATGCAGATCATCAAAAGGAACAATGGGTTTATCTCGTTTCCTTTTCCATGTTACAAACAAATGTACAAAGGTGTAATACCCTGAACCTTGTGGTGTAGGGTATAAAAATAAGCCCTTATCAGAAAGCACCAACAATAGCAAGAGTATTCACAAATGCGTTTGAGTGTATATTGTTTTGAATACAAAAATAAAATAATTTTAAATTTTTTCGAATTCAATTGCAAGAGAAATTCATATTTTTTAAGTTAAGAAATGGTACAATTTTGGTATAAAACTGTATAGTCCAAAAATCGTAGATTAATTTTTGTGGAATTTTCCATTCATGGCTTGTGGGTTTCCCATTATAAGAATTTTGGTAAAAAATGTAAAAAAAAAATTAAAAAATAATTGTTGCATACTTAAATGTTTATTTGACACTATAAAACTCCGGTACAGAGTTGCATTTCTCCTAGTTTCTTGAAGTTGAGCAACCTTTCTGATTGAGTCATGGGAATAGATAAAGGACTAGTTGTACTATAAAAGCTTCTATTGGTCTGTAGCATGGTACAATGAAGAGAAGGTAGGCCAACTTTGAGAAAATTGCAAGTATAGAGGTCTACCTGTTTGGCTTGTAATGTCAGAATTAGTATCAAAACAATAAAAAATCAAACAACTTGTTGCATTTATTTTGAATAAATAATTGAAAAACGCGATAACTGAATGAAAGATCAACATTTCTTTTCAAAATCGTGTACTATATATCTCTAAAGGATTATTTCGCTACAAAAACTCTAGATGTTGTCGATACATACGTTGAAATAAACATTTTGAACCCGAATTTGAATATTTTCTGAACAATTTTGTTGTTATTGAAAAGAAAACACATAGATAAACAAATAAAGATGACATATTAAGCCAAGAAAATAAAAAAATTAAAATCATATGGTATCATAGCCCTACCTTGATATCATTGTACCATGGTCTGTAGTAGTTTTACTACGACAACCGATTTTCCCTTTATGATATCGAAGAAAATGGTAAAAGCAGGAGATTCTTACAGGTATTGGAACAGAGCATATGTCACTCGCCTCCACATGAATGTTTGAAATGAAATGACACAGAACATTTGCACGTTTCTCTGTTTTTCTTTTTTTTTAGCTACAGTTTACCCCTTTTAATTACAAATGAGCAAAATGGAAAAATTAAAGCAAAATCAAAAACAGATTTGTCTGGCATGGCTCGTTTTAATTTGAATGGTGGCGATGGTGGCATGCGACGGTGTTGATTGAAACGCCGATCGCCACCGACGCTACAAACATTTCCAAGTATGGCATCAAATCTAAACAAAAACAATGAAATGGGTATCATTTGCTGTTTTGAAAAATAGTTTATAACAGAGATTCCAGTTTCAGTTGGTCAACTGAAAACCGGCAGTCCGGTATTTATTTTTGTTTAGATATTCCACATTATTTGTTTTTGGCGCCCAATAGTATACAAAAAGACACTAGGGAGAAATAACCACCAGATTCGATAAAAAAAATCGAAATATGGATATCCAGAACTGCAAATTTTACTAAGATAACCGATTTTTCAAAATTAGCAGATTCTTGCAGGTTCTGGAACAGACCAACAATAAATACCATTTAAAAGTAAAATGCTCCTGAGCAACTGCTTTGCCGCCGCTATGTCTGTGATTATCACTTTAGCGTTTAATCAGATTAATGTTGATAACTATAATCAATGCCTACAATTGAATATCGATAACTCCATTTTTGGCATGTTGATAATAACAATATTAAGCTAAGTAGGAAAAAGACTTGAAGGGTCCGAGACAATCTGCAGGTGTTCTACCGAAGAAAAAAAAATAATCTGGGACAACTGATGGATAAAATAAACAACCTCTTTAATATGATATGACATATATATTATGTACAAATTTGTCCTTTTTTTATATAAAAACAAAAAAAATGCAAAACTAATAAATTCTTGCAGGTTCTGGAGCAGAGTAATATGCAGTTTGCGTTTATTGTTTTGAAGAATAAGGGAAACAATTTTAAATTATTCACTCGTATCAAAAAATACACATTTTCAATAGGGAAGACATTTTAGAGTTCTGAGATGAAATAATATTTTAATCCTATCATGAATTTAAATTTGTGAAAACCCCAGCATTCTTTTCATGTTTTTTTTTTCAAATCTAAATATTTGTCAAAAATAAGTAAATAATCCACACAAATAATCATATACTTTAAAATTCTACTTGGCAGAATTAAAACCCTCTACAGAGTTGCATTTTTCTTAATTTATTTGTAGTTAAACCTTTTAAACTTTTTGGTTGTGGTTTTTAGATTTTTGGGGTTTTAATTGTTCACAAAAAAAATTAAATCAAAATTTGAATAAGAAAGTTTTCATTCAATAGTTTAGACTACGGTCTACGACCCGGAAGGTCTCGAGTACTGTCATTGCGACAGCAACTTTAATCTATCTGCAATTTTATAACAGCGCGATGCAGTTCGCAAGAAACGAAGCATACTATAATTATGTACATATATTTTAAAGCTCCAGGTAAATATTTCAATAGCTTCGATTTAATTTTCCAAAAAATAAAAATTAATTATAATTGATTTCTAGGTGAGGTAAGGGAAATCCAGTAAAAATTGAACAATTAAATATTGCAATTAATATTTTTTGTAGTTTGTTGTGTAGATATTTAGAACTTTTTTGGTGCTCCAAACTCTGTTCTTGTTGTTGCATTTATATATAGAAAATATAACTTATGTTTAGCTGGCAGGATATACCATTTGTGTCACTTAAACCCCAGTAATCTTCCATTTTGCCGTGGAATGGATGGCTGTCTGAGCGTCTGCGGTAATGGAGTTTTTGTTGTTGGTTTTTTGTTGGTGGGGATAAAAAAAATAAACAGCAATCTTTTTAAACGGTTTTCATTTAATGTTTTGATTTTTCCGAATATTTAGCACAACAAAATTAAATGTAACAAATGGAAAAAAACCTCCAAACCCCGTCTGTTGTTCGAGTTCGAGGTTTTTTGTTGTTTCCCAATTTCAATTGGTTTTTATGTTGTTTTTTTAAAGGCTTGTTATTTTGTTTTGTTTCTGTTTTTTTTTTAATTCACTTTTCACTTGTTGTTGTGATTTATTGTAAATTTTGTTTTTTTTTTTTTTTTGCTGTTCGATTAACCGAAGATCGTAAGCGCGATCGTAGTTACGTTGGTTGATATTTTGAACACCGCTCGTCAGAAACTGTGCTCAGCCTCAAAAAATGTGCTCATCACACATATGACAATTGCGACAACGGCAGCCACGTTCGCTCCCCACAGCAAAACACACACATACACTCACGCACATACACACACACTCGGCGAATTTAAAGGCGACCGACTCTATGACAAATTGTCGATTTTCTTATTCTTTTGGGGAAAATAGAACAGGCGTTATTTAACCACTACATGGGCAGCGCGCACACACACACATACAATGACAGCGGTGGCAGAGCAAGCCAGCATCATTTTCCTTAGTGTGAGTGCGAATTCTCGTTGTTGAACAAATGAGATGCGGCGATCATCAACGGCAGCCGCATTCTAAACAAAAACAAAAGTGACGACCAGAATCGGATGTAGGACCGTCTTCACCGGGGTGTAGCTTAAGATCTGTTTCTTCTTATGCTGGGGAATTGCGCGAATCATGGATGGTATGGACGAAAGACGCTCACGAAACCGGGATTATTCGGTGGAAAAATCGAATGTAACTGTTTCTCCGGCACGAAGACGGCGGTCTAGTTGAAAGAAACGCTCAGTTTCCGTTGTTGTGGCGAATTTAATTATTGCGTTTTTTAGCCGTAGATTTTTTTCTGTCGATTTTCTATTCGTACGTCACTGTCGGCGGAATATCAAAAGCGTTGTGTCGCTGATATTTTTAATTGGTTGATCTTGAAATTTCATTCTTAGCTTCGATGTAAGCGGCAAACTTTTGCTTTTTGTAGGTTATGTAGGCATTTGCAAAGGAAACGCTTTCAAAACACACGAAATTTGGCTTGATTGTGGTGTTCTGTTACCGCTGTATTTTCGCGAACTGAATTCTCTTAAGCTGGGAGCTAATGCCTGAAGCTCAGACACAAAAACAGCAACGACGCTGACAATTTGATGCCAGTCGGTGAAAATGTGACGAAAAGTACTCTGGCCGGTGGCAATGATGACAATGAGGAATGTACATGACCAGAGCGGGGCAGGGCATTGGGGTCAGATTCAAAATGATGATTATGTGTGAGCATTAGAGTAATTTGTGCGAGCGGCTGAGTGCAATATGATCACGCTCAATCGTCACTGTGTTGGTGTTGGTGAAATAATTTGAAATGTGTGATGATTGCTGGAGATCGCTTTTTATTGCTGTCGCTGTTGGCGATGATGGTGGTGAGTTTTTCCAAAACTTAAAAACGTAGCAAACTTATTGTACAAATTGAATAAAAACATCTTTTTTTTTAGAGAATTTTAATATGTAGGTGTGTGTGTGTGTTTTTGGTCAGTTTTAATGCGGGTCAAATGCTGCTTAGATTCTGTTCTATTTGTGGGCATTGTGTTTTCAATGCTCACGTAATTGTGACATATTCCAGAAGTAATTGATGATCGATTGGCCAGAAATTTGTAAATGTGGGTCATTTGTATACGAATTGAGAAAAGAAGAGAACAACTCTCTTTTTAACTCTCACCTACTTTCATTATGGATCTCATTTCTCATTCATTTTAATTTTTTCTCTCTCCAAACTAAACCCCTCATTTGAAACAGCAGCCAAACAGTTTATTTCATTTGAAATCTTTTAAGGGATGCTATTTTTTTTATTAATCGGTAGAATATAATTGTCTAAATAACTTGTCATTTCTGGAAATATATTTCTCAAGGGAGTACAATTTTCAATTCCAATTTTCATAACCTCAGCCATATGGCTAGTGAGAATATATAACATTTGATAGGGCCAAAGCGTGCCTCATCAAAAAAAAAAAAGGTTTTAGACCCTGAGTCTCTTTAGCCAAATCCGTTTCAGGACACTTGGAGTTGATCTAGCAATGTACGTCCGTCTGGCTGGCTGGTGCTCACTCTCGAAGGGAGTATCCGATTTGGTTCAAACTTGGTGCATCGTAATATTATTGTCAAAATTAGCTCGAGTTCGGAGATGGGCAATATCGGTCCTCTCCTTCTTGTAACTCCCTTACAAAAAAGAGAGAGAATAATCTGATTTTACTCCAATTTTGCAAATCCTAATATTTGCAACGTGGTCAGGTACGAAAATGGACAATATCGGTCCACTGCAGCAAGTACCTCCCCCCACAAACGGTCAAAATTTGGAATAATTACAACTTATATAAAATGTAATGTAAGAGTCCAATTGTCTCCAACACAGATCACAATATTTTTTTTTAATCTAAGGTCTTGTGTGGAGATGGAATATATCGGTCTACTCCTTCTGGTACATCCCCCACAAAGGGTCAAAATTTTGAATATTCAAGAAGCTCATAAAACGCGAAATTAATATCCGATTCCATTCATACTTGGTACATCTCAATATTTCCATAAACAAAAGACCTGTTATAAAGATGGTAGAGATCGGACAGGGTTCAAAGTTTGGAATTACCAAAATTATAAAATAAAAAAAAATCGAAATAAGCATCCGGTTCTCTTCAAATTACACACATCACAATATTAATATTAACCCAAGGTCTGGTATGAAGATTGAATATATTGGTTCACTTCTTCTGGTATCTCCCCCACAAAGGGTCAGCATTTTGTATATTCATGAAGCAGATAAAACGCGAAATTAACATCCGATTCCATTCAGACTTGGCAAATCTTAATATTTTTATCAGCACAAGATCTGTTATAAAGATGGTAGAGATCGGACCATTTCTGCTGGTACCTGTCCCACATAGGGTTCAAAATTTTTAAAAACTAAACTCTCAAAGAAAGCGAAATAAGCGTCCATCTCTCTTCAAATATGCCACATACATCTGTCGGCAAAACCGACTGATACTATTTTACTTGTTTTATATTAGTTTTTTAATAACCCCCTAGAATATTTCAGTTCCCAAAATATCTGTTCTTACGCTTTCACATTTTCTTCGCCACACTTTACCCCCACTGCCATGGAATTGTATAAATGTATGATCTGAACATTTGTACGACTACAACTCATACCGTGTGTATGTGTGTGTGCATGTATCTGTGCAATATTATCACTTAAAATTTCTTTCTTTTCACAAATCATTTTTCTACTTTAATTTGAATACAATGGGACACCGTGTGTCCTATACGAGAGAATAATTCAAATGTAATCGTTTGTTTGTCATTAAACGACGACAACAACATCATCGGTCACATACCGACCGCATAATGCCCGCAGCACCTTTGCCATCTCCTCCTCCTGGGAGTAAAACTTAGTGGCTATGGTGGCGAATGTTTTTGTGGGGTTTACTTTAAGGAGCTCCAGCCACCATTCGGAATCAAACGTGCGCTGCTGGTTGATACAAAATAACATTTGGATTCTACACTGCCGTCTTCGTCCGTACAGCCAGCTTAGATACATTAAATCACAATCAATGCTGTGCAAGGTATGGTTGGTGGCTAGCTTGGTGTGGGTGATGGGTGCTTGGCATGTATGTCTGTGTGCGTGTGTGTGTATTATTATTTTTTCGTTTGGAAAAAAGCTAAATTTTCATTGTTGGAAAAAAGACGACAATGACAAGGAAAAAAGTTTGAGTTTCTCTCCTCCTATCCTCCACTCCGTAAAGGCAGGGCAACTGGACAAAAGTGTATCTTTAGAAGATTAAAGTGACAAAGTGAATTAAGTAAGATTTGGTGGTGGTGGTGGTGGTGGTGATGGCGATGGTGGCTGTCGCTGCTGTTGTTGTGGCATTCGTCTTCGACATCTTCTCTATTTGAGATATTCGTATGAATAAATATATCACAATATATGTAGGTATATATGTACATCTGGTCAATCATATAAATCGGTTGTCGCCAGTAGAAACTGACTTTTATTGTTGCCCCGCACACATACACACACATGCCCACACACCTACACATGAAATAAATAAATTTCATTTAATTCTCCATTGAAGTGAATATTTGTGGTGCATAAGCACTTTTATATGGAAAGAAAATGTAAATAGAAAATTCAAAAAAAAAAAAATAATAATAATAATAAATAAATAAAAAATTATTGAGCTCTTTTTATTTTTATCCACTTTTACTTCTGGCATGCATATATAGAGGTGTTTTTGCAGGGTTATTATGTATTTATTCGTTTGTTTTCAAAAACAATTAGTTATGGATGATTCAAGAAGAAGTTGTAGGTGTTGGTATCTGACATAAGTCTGCTAAAAATATTAAAACGTATCACATTTGGATTTTATATCAGCTACTTGACTTATTTTATATGAAACTAGCTGAACCCGGTGCGCTTCGCTACCCCTTTTGATTTTATATGCATTCAAAATTTTATTTACGAATATATGTTGGATAAAGAAAAACAAATTTAAAAATTAAAAAAAATATTGCACTAATTTAATGCGTTAATAAACAAAATCATTACAAAAGCAGTAACATGACATGCATACACGAAGGGTTTGTCCTTTGGATTTATTTATTTCATAGCAAATACCAAGCGTGCAGGAAACTGCAATTTTTTTAAGTAGAGTGGCATTTCTATTGCAAGTAGTGAATTCAAGATAGCAACATACTTCGCCGTAATAAGCGTATTTCAAATAAATTGTTGTGTTGTTTTTTAGTGTTAGCCTAAGGCGTTGTGGGTCAATGGTTCTTATTAAAATCATATCCCAATCTGATCCGATTTAAATATAATTTAAAAAAAATTACTTTTACACCAAACTCCGCCACACCTTTCATATTTAATTGAAATTGGTGCGTCAAATATGTGAAATCGGCCGAGAATATATATATGGGAGCTATATCCAAATCTTAACTAATTTCCAATTAATTTATCACATTTATTATTATAACAAAATTCCGCCACACATTCTGAATTTCATTGGAATCGGTCATATATATCGTGTTTGGTGCATAATATGTATGAAATCGGCCGAAATATATATGTTAGCTATATCCAAACCTCAACTGATTTCAATATAATTGTGCAATTTTTGCTGGTGCCAGATTTTGTCTCTCTCGCTTTGGGTGCATCAAATATGTGAAATCGGCTGAGTATATATGGAGCTATAATCACATCTGAGCGTATTTGAATATAATTTGTCAAATGTGCATCAAATATGTGAAATCGGCGGATAATATATATGGGAGCTATATCCAAATCTGAACCGATTTTAATATAATTTGACTAATTTATTTTCTAATCAAAATCCCGTTACATATTCCAAAATTCTTGGAAATCGAACATACATATCGTGTATGGTGCATAAAATACATGAAATCGGTCGAAAATATATATGAGAGCTATATCCAAATCTGAACCGATTTTAATATAATTTGACAAATGTATATTTGTTTTAATTTCCGCTACACATTTCAAATTTCATTGAAATTAGAGATACATAGCGTGTTTGGTGCATCAAATACATGAAATCGGTCGAAAATATATATGGGAGCTATATCCAAATCTGAACCGATTTCAATATAATTTGGGAAATAAATTTTTTTAGATAAAATCTATCACACGTTTCAAATTTCATTGAAATTGGGGATACATAGCGTGTTTGGTGCATCAAATGCTTGAAATCGGCCGAAAATATATATGGGAGCTATATCCAAATCTGAACCGATTTCAATATAATTTGACAAATTTATTTTCGGATCAAATCCCGTCACATATTCCAAATTTCATTGGAATCGAACATTCATATTGTGTTTGAGGCATCAAATGAACGAAATCGGTCGAAAATATATATGGGAGCTATATCCAAATCTGAACCGATTACAATATAATTTAGCAAACTTATTTTTGTTCCAAATTCCGTTACACATTCCAAATTTGGAGACTGTATCTTTAACCGATCAATAGATATGTGCATATAAAATCTAAATTTTTGGGAGGTACCTCCGATTCTGATGCTATATCTCCAGTTCCAAGTGGAAATTCAAACATGTATATAGCCTATGTTACTTTCAGGCGATGTTGCAGTATATATGGAAATTTTCAGAAAAATCTATTCAGCAGTTTTCGAGTCCATAAATTACAAACAAACAAACAAACAAACGTACAAACATTTTCCTCTTTTATAGATATAAAGAAGAAGATAGAAGAAGATATTTGATAATATTTCGAAAAGTTCACGTTTTATGAGAGTTATAATTTTTTTTAGTTCAAATTTTA